AAGATTTTCGTAGATGGCAGAAGAAGATGAAGTTTCTCCTTACCACTATGAAAGTGGTGTATGTTCTGAGTACACCCATGCCAGTCTTACCAGAATCTGTTGAAGATGAAACTTTGGAGGCAACAAGAAGAAGATCAAAGTGGGAAAATGATGATTACATATGTCGTGGTCATATTCTCAATGGTATGTCTGACTCTCTTTTTTATATCTATCAAAATTTAGAATCTGCAAAAGAACTGTGGGATTCTCTTGAATCCAAGTACATGGCTGAAGATGCTTCTAGTAAGAAGTTTCTTGTTAGTAAGTTTATGGGTTACAAGATGATTAACTCCAGGCCTGTTATGGAACAATTCCATGAAATTTTAAGGATTTTGGGACATTTTGATCAACACAATCTGAAAATGGATGAAGCCATTTCTGTGTTGTGATCATTGACAAACTGCCCCCTTCTTGGAAGGATTTAAAACACAATCTGAAACATAACAAAGAGGAATTGACTTTGACTCAATTTGGAAGCCATTTAAGGATTGAAGAGTCCACAAGGACTCAAGAACTTGAAAACAATACTAAAGGCAAGAACCAAGTTGGTTCCTCTTCTGTGAACATGGAGGAAGGAGAAGGTTCAAAGAATCCCAAGAAGTCTAATGGAAAAAGGAAGTTTAAAGGAAAGGATGACAAGTCTTCCAACAAGAAGGCTAAGTTGGTTTGTTGGAATTGTAACAAACCGGGTCACTTCAAGAAAGATTGTCGTCTTTGCAAAGTGAATAAGGATGGTGTTGGACCAAGTGGATCCAAGGATCCAGAAAAGTAACAAGGTCAGATTTCTGTTTTCATGCAGAATTCTAAATATATTCCGAATTATATTTATGTGATTTCTGAAGCATTTTATGTGTAGGATGATAAAGTTGCATGGTGGGTTGATTTGGGAGCAACAAGTCATGTTTGCAAAGATCTATATTGGTTCAAGGACTTTTAACCAATTGAATATGGATCTGTTGTGAAGATGGGAAATTTTGCAACTGAACCAATCAAGGGCATAGGATCTGTTTTACTTACTTTTACTTCTGGGAAATGTTTGTGTTTGAACAATGTTTTATATGTTCCAGGGATTCGTAAGAATCTCGTGTCTGAAATTGTATTAAATAATTATGGTTACAAACAAGTGTTAGAAATTGACAAGTATATCTTGTCAAGACATGGTTCTTTTATGGGATTTGGCTATATATGTAATGGAATGATTAGGCTTAATATTAATTATCCTTCTAGTGATAATTCTGTTTGCATGGCTTCTAGTAGTACTAGCAATAATTTTCATAAATCTGAATTATGGCATGCTAGACTAGGACACATTCATTACAAGAGATTAAAAGACATGTCTAAAATGAGTTTAATTCCTACTTTTGATATGCAAAATAATCAAATATGTAAAACATGCATGCAAACTAAAATCACTAGAAAACCTTTCAAAGATGTTGTTAGGGAAAGCAAGGTGTTAGATCTTATACATAGTGATTTATGTGATTTCCATGCAACACCTTCCCTTAGAAACAAGAAGTATGTTGTTACTTTTATTGATGATGCATCTAGATATTGTTATATCTATTTGCTACATTCTAAGGATGAAGCACTTGATAAATTGAAAATTTATAAATAACAAGTTGAGCGTCATAAAAATGAATTAATAAAAGTATTGCGTACTGATAGAGGTGGTGAGTATTATGATGCAGTTTATTTTGAATCAATTGGAATAATACATCAAACCACAGCTCCATATACACCACAACAAAATGGTGTAGCTGAAAGGAAGAATAGGAATTTGAAAGAAATGGTTAATTCCATGTTGTCATATTCTTGTTTAAGTGAAGGGTTTTAGGGTGAGGCAATGTTAACTGCATGTTACATCTTGAATATAACTCCAAATAAAAGGAGTAAGAATACTCCTTATGAACTTTGGTGTAAAAAGGTACCAAATTTGAGTTATCTCAAAGTTTGGATTTGTAGAGCAGTTGTAAGGCTCACTGAACCCAAAAGGAAAACATTGGGTGAAAGAGGTATAAAATGTATCTTTATTGGATATCCTGAGCATTCCAAAGCATATAGATTCTATGTTTTAGAATCTAATGACTCTGTGTCTGTAAACACAGTGATAGAGTCAAGAGATGCTATCTTTGATGAAGAAAGATTTACATCTATACCTAGACCAAGGGACATGATTCATCAATCTTCCAGCAAGAGTACTACTCAAGCTGAACATGTTTCCGGTGGTGCAAGTTCTGTACCAGAATCTAGGAAAAACACCAGAGCTAGAAAAGCTAAGTCTTTTGGATCTGATTTTCAACTATATTTAGTTGAAGGAACAAGGAATGAGACTATTTCTCAACATCAATATTCTTTTAATATTGAAGAGGATCCAAAGACTTTCAGTGAATCTATGACTTCTAGGGATGTTCATTTCTGGAAAGAGGAAATTCATGATGAGATTGATTCTATCATGCATAACAATACTTGGGTATTGGCTGATTTACCTCCTGGTTGCAAGGCATTAGGATGTAAATGGATCCTCAAAAGAAAAATGAAGGTGGATGGCACAATTGATAAGTATAAAGCCAGATTGGTTATCCAAGGCTTTAGACAAAAGGAAGGCATTGATTTCTTTGATACTTATGCTCCTGTTGCCAGAATTTATACTATTAGATTATTATTAGCTCTTGCAGCTATACATAATCTTGTGATTCACCAAATGGATGTGAAAACTGCATTCTTGAATGGTGACTTGGATGAGGAAATATACATGAAACAACCTGAAGGGTTTGTGATGCCTGGAAATGAGCACAAAGTGTGCAAGTTGAAGAAATCATTATATGGTTTGAAACAAGCACCAAAACAATGGCATCAAAAGTTTGATGATGTTGTCTTGTCTAATGATTTTGCATTAAACCAAGCTGACAAGTGTGTATATAGCAAATTTGATACTTTTGGTAAAGGAGTCATGATTTGCTTATATGTAGATGATATGTTGATTTTTGGTACTGATTTAGAAGAAGTTGATAAAACGAAGAAATTCTTATCATCTAGTTTTGATGAAAGACATGGGGGAGGCTGAGGTAATTCTTGGTATAAGAATTAGAAAATGAAACAATGGGATTTCAATTTCTCAATCTCATTATATTGAGAAGATATTGAAAAAGTTTAACTTTGAGAATTGTTCTCCTGTTAGCACTCCTATAGATCCTAGTCTTAAGCTACTACCTAATAAAGGATCTACAGTGTCTCAACTTGAATACTCAAGGGCTATTGGTTGTCTAATGTATGCCATGATTAGTACTAGGCCTGATATAGCATATGCTATGGGAAGGCTTAGTAGATATACTAGTAATCCTAGTTCACATCATTGGCAAGCTGTGAGTAGAGTATTCAAGTACTTGAAAGGGACCATGAATTATGGTTTAATTTATAGTGGATATCCTTCTGTTTTGGAAGGTTATTCAGATGCCAGCTGGATTAACAACTTAGAGGATCACGCCTCTACAAGTTGTTGGGTGTTTCTTCTTGGAGGAGGTGTCATTTCTTGGGCATCTAAGAAACAAACTTGTATTACTAACTCAACCATGGAGTCTGAGTTTGTTGCATTGTCTGCTGTTGGTAAAGAAGCTGAGTGGCTAAGGAATTTGATTTATGAAATTCCATTATGGCCCAAACCGATATCTACCATTTCTACCAGATGTGATAGTGCTGCAACCTTGGCTAAGGCTTATAATCAAGTGTACAATGGAAAGTCTAGATATTTAGGTGTTATACATAACATGATTCGTGAGCTCATCATGACTGGTGTGATATCTGTGGAGTTTGTAAGAACTTAGTTAAATTTAGCCGATCATCTAACCAAAGGGTTAGCAAGAGATCTTGTGCACAAGGCGGCTGTAGGGATGGGTTTAAAGTCCACTTAAAATTTTTTATATTGAGATACCCAATTCCCATCTAATGTAATATTAGATGTTGAATTCAATGTGGAAAGCTTGATATTTGAAGATTGGAACACATTATTATCATCATCCCAAGGTATGTGTTCAGTACTGCAAGTTAAGAAGGTTGAATTTATATTCTTAATAGTTCTTTTGAAAAATTGCATTTGCAGGTGCAAGAATAAAAGGACTACCTATATAAGCATGAAGTTTAGCTGCTTCAAGAAGTTAGGACTTGGCTTTGATATGCTTATTGAAGGATGGGACACAAGCTAGTAAATATAGTGTCAAGTTAGAAATTTGAGAATGTAAATTGTTGTGTATATTATCTTTATGTATTCACTTAGAATAGAAAGAGTTCAATCCTTAGTGACACCCTGATATTCGAATATTTGGAATGAATAATATACTAATGTGAAATTCAATCATCACGAAATTTCATTTATGCATCAGTTTGTTGTTGTTATGATTTTAATGTTTAGTTAATCAAGATTACAATTAAATGGGGGAGGTTTGTTGGTGATTTTTATATCACTAATGTTATTTAAGTGTAATGGGGTTAATTTGTTGATCAATGTCACTTTGACAATTATTGAACAAATCGGTATGGTGCGGAGTGCACATTTGTTTAATTTTGTCTTTGTTGAAAGTATACTGCTATTTAGGGGCAAAGCCCCTGAACCGACGGGGGCCCGGGGGCTGCGCCCCTGGGAGCGGTGTCCAAGGGGCGGCAACCCCTAGCGGGGTCCAAGGGGCAGAGCCCCCTGGCTGGGGTCGATGATCATATCCGAAATCTGTTGTTGGTACTCTTCTTCTTCATAACATCTTTGAACATTCTCTCTTATGTTTTTCCAATTCTGAGTCTTATCCGATTAAAGATTGGGAGTACCACCCAAATACTTTAATCTGAAAGTGAAACCACAATTCTCAAAATTTCCAAGGCTATTTTATCCCGATTTTCTTACATTATGAAGCCAACGTTGGTAAAATACAAATTATCAGTTTTCATATCGAGTACACTAACAAACAATGATAAGATCATATGATACCACTAATTCCCTCTAAGCTCTGTAAAACTTGTTCAATAGATGGTCTTTGTATTGATTCAGGTTGAGTACATCTTAAAACAAGTGCAGCGCACTCATAGGCAGCTTTCAACTGGTAGTCATGACCAAGGCTCGGGTCTATTATAGTCTTCACCTTTCTTTTACTATGTAGCATTGGCCTTATCCATTCCACCAGATTTTGCTCCTTGTTGGGCCGTGTCTTGTCAATAGCCCGTAGACCCGTAAGACTTTCCAGTAACACCACTCCAAAAGCATATACATCGTTCTTCCCATTCAAATGACCTATAAATGTACATGTTATTGTTACCTAATATAGGACGAATTATACTACATTTGGCTTATTTCATTGTGACAATAATTAAAATATTTTGTCCCATGGATCATTTTTGATGTTTCATCTGTATAAAAGTTGTGAAGAAAACTAATGAATTTAGAGGAAACTGATCACCTGTTGCAACGTACTCAGGAGCGACATACCCATGTGTCCCCATTACCTCTGTCATAATATGTGTATTACCATTTGTTGGACCATGTATTGCCAAACCAAAATCACAGATTTTTGCATTGAAATCCTTGAAAAAAACAATCTTTTTGAAATGAAATCATAAGATACAACGATTAACTGAATTTAGTAGCATGCGATACCTGATCAAGCAATATGTTAGAACTCTTCAAATCACGAAATATGATTTGGTTCTCGGCACTATGAAGAAAGGCAAGTCCTTGAGCTGTTCCGATCATGATTTTGAGTCGCATTGACCATGGGAGCTCTAGTCCAGATCCTTCTACATTAGTTAAAACCTTTCAATTTATGTCCATTTAGCTACGAATATTATATTATTTAGATTAATAGATATATGTTTACTTTTTAATATGTAATTTTCTAGGCTCCCTTTGTTCAGAAATTCGTAAATGAGGAATAGGTCCTTATCTTCGCAGCAATATCCTATTAAATGGACTAGATTTGGATGACTCAACCTGCCTAAAATCTTCACCTCCGCCTGTATCCATGGTACCATTTCATCATTATATCAAGGTTATCGCACAAAAAAATTAACTTAATAACTTGAATTAATGATGCAACACAATAATACAAAGTATGAAGTTAGACAAACAAGTAGCGACACTTGGTGCAAAAAATCGTGCATATAAACTACCTGCCATTCTTGGAATCCTTGATAACCATCAGTATTGAGTTTTTTAACAGCAACAGCCATCCCAGAAGCAACTTTTGAAGGAGAAAATGTTTCGTGATCGACCCATCCTTTGAAAACTTTTCCAAAGGCACCCTCACCAGCAATCATATCATGACTAAAGTTCCTAGTAGCAATTTTAAGTCCAGCTACAGTGAATACTTTTAAACGAGAATTTATAACTTCCCGTTTGAAATTAACTTCATGGAAACTATTTGTAGTGTTGCTTAGTAAATCGTCCTTGTTAGACAATGTACACGGAAGAAGGCATATACTTTGCCCTTTCTTCTTTTCCGGTTGCTCGACTGAAAATAAGATCAAAGGAAAGACTTTAGATCATTACAAGAAATTTAGACACTAGAAGGTAGAACTAAAAGTTAGCGACTATACTCATGGACTAAACTTTTGGTGTAAACTTTAGATATCCAACCATGAACCAAAACACTCTTTTCTCCCGAAAAGGGTAGTGCAAAAAATGTTTCATCTATGGTATATTATCTTATTTTTTACAATAAAAAGAATATTCAAAGTACATTGGTTTGCTATAACTTATATTGATTTTCAAAATGTTTAATATTTGGTGCAAAGAACGATTATATATGTTCAACATATTACTCCATTTTTATACCAAGAAAATATTCTAGGTATATTTTTTTCCCAACATATATAGATTTTAAAAAATACCCTTTATAATCAAGAGTTTTTTTATATAAATTTGTTTTCCTTTTTATATAACTTTGTCTTACTATACAATTAAATTAACTAGACTTATGTAAACCCAAACTTAGATGACCAAATTGTAATATGAAAGTATAGCGCAAAAATTGTTGAAAATAATGGTATAACACCAGATTTGAGACGTTATACAATTTCTTTAAACCATTTTGGTGCAACAAATGGTGTTTGGTAAAGTAAAATGGTGAAAAAAATGGGATTTGTTGGTTGGAAATGTAATACTATGTGAAAAAAGAAAGTCACAAAGAGGTTAATTACCAAGTGTGGCAGAGGTTTTCACTGCAAACATACTCCGCAACATCCTTGACACAGTTATCTTTCCACTCTTCACATTCGAATTTCCTTTTTCTTCATTCTCATAACGACTACAACTTTCGAGTACAAAAGAATTCGCTTTCTCTTGCATCACCAACACAGCTTCAAGTTCGACTACCACCTCAGTCATAGTCGGGCGTTCTTTTGGACGAGTCTTTAAGCATTTTTCTGTGATTCCCACAAAAGCTTCTAAGCAATCAGGGATGACTTGGCCCTTCAAACTCGGGTCAATTATATGATTCAACATTCCTTCTTTGATGAACCCCATGGCCCACCCAACTAGACCGAGTTCATTATCCCCAAGAGTTGGATCAATCGCAGGACGCCCACATAAAACCTCCAATAACACAACCCCAAATGAGTAAACATCAGATTTCCTTGTGAGTCTTCGTGTCATGAAGTAGTTAGGATCAAAATACCCGAAAGAGCCTTTTACATCTGTGCTCACATGGGTGAAAGGTTGACCTAGTGGACCAATTTTCGACACCCCAAGATCTGAAACCTTAGCTTCCATGTATTCATCCAAGAGTATATTTGAGCTTTTCACATCCCTATGTATGATTCGGTGGTTTGAGTTTGTGCCAGTGTGAAGATAATCTAAAGCACGTGCAGCCCCTATGCATATTTTCAAACGTTCCACCCAAGAAAGTGGACAGTTTTTAGTGTGTCTGGAAACTTTATGGAGGCGTTCTCCGAGGTTTCCACCTGAGACATACTCGTATACGATAATCATCTCATTGAACTCATCACAGTATCCGATAAGAGAGACAAGGTTGTTGTGTCGGAACTTGGAGAGCATCTTGATTTCAGTCCAAAACTCAGTGGCTCCTTGCTTAGATCGAGAATCCATCCTCTTGATTGCAACCCTAGTTGCACCATAGTCGATGACACCTTTATACACCTTACCAAATCCACCTTTCCCTATCACCATATCTTGACTGAAATTGTTTGTTGCTACTCTCATGTCTGTAAGTGGAAACCAGCGGCATAGATGTTCCTGTGAGAAAGATGGTGGTTTTTTGTCGTTGGTTTCATGAAGTTGACTCAACTTAAAGACGATGATATTGAGAATAATCATGGCAAGTATCACTCCAGTCACTGCTGATGGAACAAGTCCGAATGTTAATACTTGTTTTGTGTGTTGATCTACCCATCGATGATTGTTTCCGAAGCAAGAGCAATCGTGATTTCGAATGTTGTCAACTGGGTGGAAACCAGAATTTGTGAAACTATCACTCGATATGTATAGTAAACTGTGCAATAACATCAAGAAATAGCCTTTACGCAAAGTCATCCTCATGGATTTTAAAGTTGACTGAACATGAACAATTTCTGCAAGTACCCTTTTAACTTGTTACTCAGGTCAACTGTTCTACGAGGCGACTTTTACACAGGGTAACTGAAATTAATAACTTTCGAAGAGATTGTTCTAGCCGAATCTTTGTAAACGTGTTGCAGTTGAGTTAATTACACGTGTTCGGGGGTTAGTGGTTATAATTTTCTTCCAATAGTTAGCTGCCAGAAGTGTCAACATTTGACGTGAATGAGTAAGAGGGAGGAAGGTGTCTAGCGACGTTGATTGACTTTCACATTTGTATTTTCATTCTAAAATAGTTGTAAGTTGTACATAATGGTTAGACTTTGCCCTTAGTTACAAAACTGCACTATTTTTTTCTGTAGTTATTTATTTATTTTTTTGTATTTTCATTCTAAAATAGTTTGAAGGAAGTGGCTAGTGCCACCCCTATGACATTGACTCGGCAGTGCCAAACGAACACCTCCCCTTGGCCTCATGGTAAACTGGACAGCTTCATTCTATATGAAAGTATGGAGAGAAAAAGTCCAAATTTAAGACCTCTTCTCAATTTCCTTTTCCATTAATTAAAAAAACGATAAATATGGCATCACAATTCCTCTTTTAATGTGGAATCTAAAATAGAAAACCATAATTCAATAATTTTTCTATAGAAAATTTTCCATATAAATTCAAATTTTTGAAGTTACCTTAAATTATAATTTTTTTAATGTAAGTCATTAAAAATTTTCTATAGAAATTTTAGATAAATTAAAAAAAAATAGATGGGTCACTGTGTGGCGCCTACATGGCTCAAAAACTAATGTGCCAAAAGTAACACCTGTGCATCCAGCCTTATAGGACCTTAAATGACTATTTTGTCTCTTTTATTTTATTTTTCCATTTAACTTATAATTAAGTAACTATAAAGAAACAAAATACAACCCGCCGCTTTATCTATTATATTTCATTAACACAATCTATAACATTTCATGAACACAAGCTTGTATATCGTCTTTGTTTTCTTCAACAAGTATTGTAGATGTGAGATTTTTTCCTTTTTGATTTGTTATCCTCTATCTCTTTGTTAAAAATAAGCTAGATGTTATTGGGGCACTTAATTATTAAATGGTTATTGGGCTAGTTAATACTCCCTCCGTCTCAAAATTATTGTCCACAGACAAAAAACACATAGATTAAGTAAACATTAATTACCATTAACTTTATACAATAAAATGACAGTTTTGTCTTTAGTTTGCATTTAATGATCCATTAAATGCTTAGTTGGTTAAGTAATAATGAATGAGTATTTTGGTAAAAATGTTATTTATTTTTAGAAGTGGGCTATTATTTTGGTACAAACCAAAAAGGAAAGATTGACTATAATTTTGGGACGGAGGAAGTATTAGTTATTAGAGGGTATAATTGCCAACTATAAACGTGCTTTCGTGCTTTGAAATGTTGCACCTGTTAGAAATCATAGAACTGTCAGAATATAGATAAAGCTGCAAAACAAATAGTATATACTTTTTAATGAAAATGTCTTCGACCATAATATTTTTAGATTGACAATCCTTATAACTATGTTATATGGCTTAGTTATTGTGAGAAATAAAAAAAGTATATGAACTTCCAAACTCATTATCAATTCATCATTTTTCAATACAAAAAACACCAATCTTTTCCAAATGGTACGTCTAAGCCATATTTAGGCTCAAAAAAGATTTGACAATTTTTTTTTATTTATTTTCAAAATTTACATGTATGAACAATCAACAGTTGTACGGATTGCTAATGAACACAATCAACAGCCATATGGACTGTGGATGTGCACAATCAGCAACCATATTGACTGCTGAAGAGCAATCAACAGTCCATAAGACTGTTGATTATGCTCATCAGCGGTCTGTATAACTATTAATTGTGCTTATCAGTAGTCATACAAAAAAAATCGTCAAATCTTTTTTTTGGCTTAGATATGGCTTAGACGCACAATTTGGAGAAAATTGATGTTTTTGGTGTTGAAAAATGATGAGTTGATTATGAGTTCGCGGGTTCTCACAAATCTTTTGGTTCTCAAAAGAACCTGAGTCTCTCTCTCTATATATATATATATATATATATATATATAATATCTATATATATATATATATATATATATATATAATATATATATATATATATATATATATATATATATGGCTAGATTATTTTGTTTCTTACATTTTTTGTGTGCTAGAATGCACTAATATGAATTTAGTAAATTAAATAATTATTTAATCAAATAAATATTGATATTAAATGATTTCCATAATTATATGTATATTAAATGATATCCATAATTATAATTCTCTTTTTATGGAAACTAATTAAACCCGTCATTAATGTCAGCAATAACATTCTTTCAGAATGAATTCGCATCTACGTTTTTATATATGAGTTCATATTTTGTTTCAGGACTCACTCACTTAAAATACAATAAAGTTGCATTGAATATGAAGAACGAGAGTGTATTCTACTAGAATACACTCTCATTCTGTTGGAATACACTCTCATTCTTCCAGATATGAATTCATTCTAAAATAATATTATTGTTCACATTAATGACGAATTAAATTAGTTTCCATAAAAATGAGTTATAAGTATGGATAACATTTAATATACATATAATTATTACTAAATTCTTATTGGTGCATTCTAGCATACAATAGATGTGAGAAACATTTGAACCTACCTCTCTCTCTCTCTCTCTCTATATATATATCTATATATATATATATTATATATATATATTATATATATATATATATATATATATCAGAGAGAGAGAGAGAGAGAGAGAGAGAGAAAGAAAGAGAGATGTAGGTTCAAATGTTTCTACTATCTATTGTGTGCATCTAAGATTGATTGTGGACCAATTATTTTAGTTATTTAAAGAAAGTAATTAATACATATTAAATGTTAAAGATTTAATTAATACTCATTATATATTCAACATTTAATATGTATTAATTACTTTCTTAAAATAACTAAAATGATTGGTGCACAATCAATCCTACATGCACACAATAGATAGTTAGAACACAAAAACTTAACCTTATATATATATATATATATATATATATATATATATATATATATATATATATATAGAGAGAGAGAGAGAGAGAGAGAGAGAAAGAGAGACAGAGACAGAGAGTTAGGTTCATATATAAACTATATATATTGTGTGAATGTATAACCAATTCTGGACCAATCATTTGAGAGGGGAATTATTGTAATCTTATTTGATTAATTAATTATGCAACCAAAATTAAAAGCTTATAATTATAGATAGTATTTATATTTCAAAAACAATATGCTACATTTATGGAATGAAATATTCAAATCATGTGATCAATATCAACATCTTTCTACCAGTATGGATCCGCCAAGCCTAATAGCGCTCGAGAGCCCACAAGTCCGTCTTCACTCTAATCCACAATCGCGATAAGCTCCAAAACCCTGCAAAATTCCTCATGCAAAATAAAAAGTCCCCGATACGATCCATGATGAAGAAAATATAGAATATACAATGCAATACTAAAAAAAAGAGCTAAAAATCTAAAATAAACTAATAAAAATAAGGAAATAAAATAAGCTATCAAATCACCCCAAGCTTAAACCTAACTTGTCCTCAAGTTAGAACAAGACTAAAATGAACTCGGGAAGAGCTAAACTAAAAAGGAAAAAGAAAGGTACCATAGAACTTGGTCAACATCATTCAACATGGTCAGAATTAGTCCTTCATGGACCCTACGCATCCTCAAAATGTTCCCCGCTTTTAGAGCCATAAACCACATTCTTAACCACTTAATGGGCGAATAGATCACGGCTGGATGTAGTCGCGGTGTGCAAGACAAAGGAAACAGAGATGCGCCCAGTGGGGGCACTTTAAATCACCAATGCAGATCATAATGCACGAAGGAAAGGGGCCTCTTCACATACTATGATTCCTACATTTGTCAGGCTAAAGTGTATATTACGAAATAGGGTTTTGCAGCGCGGCCTCCGGGCAAACATCCGGTTTCAGAGGCTTCTCCCTTGTACTGTCCTTTACAGTTTACCGTCTCATCGTCAAGGCCTTTTCTCACCAAAAATCAAAAATAAGATAAAATAAAATAAAAAATCTACTTAACCTAAATCTAAACCTAACCGCTTAAATCTTCAATCTTGAACTTCTGTTATTTGGTCTTCAGCCTCTTTGTTGCTTGATATTCAGTCTTCTTATTTCTCTTGGTTTTTTTTTTTGAACTAAAGCCTTGAACTTGGATTCTTGTTCTTCTTTTTGTGTTGCTCTTTTTCTTCATTTTTCTTCTTTGTTTTTGTTGCTTTTCTTTAATCTTCTTCATTGTTTCTTTTTGTCTTCACTTTTCCAATTTCTTCATTTTTTTTTTGTTTTTTCTTCTTTGAAGGTCTAAGGAATTTCACCATGTAACATAGGATGGAGGCTAACATGAACACTTAATGATCATTGATAATGTGCCAAGATCTACTAAAAAGGGTGGGGAATGACTCAAAAATGGGTGTTACCGAAAAGACTTGGTCCCAAAAGATGTGAATTAGGGACCCACTTTAAAGTTTATCGAGCACCTCAATGAAAGGTGTGATAAACAAAATCTATCTAACTATCTACTCTAGACACCTAGAAAAAAATGATGACCTATCTTAAAAAAGGTGGTGAGAATCTAACTAAGTAAGGCTCGGACGAGACTCGGGAGTAGTAAGGGGTACTCCCTCCAAAACCAAGATGCGAGTCTTCAATATCTTCGATGTCTTTATAATACCTTACCGGGCGAATCTTTGCTCGCACACATTGGCATGACCAACCACATCCCTCCGCACCTAGACCTAATCAAGCTACCTGCATCTGACCCCCACACAAGCGGTCTCAAAGTGGTTTGTGAGGCTCAAAACGTGTCCCATTTCTCAAATACAAGGAATTCCATATCACGACCCGGGACCAA